TTTCAGACTCTGCTGTTTTATATGTATCTCTGCCATAATTAATTAATCAATTAAAATCGCATTTGCCAAGCACATCTGTTAACGAAATTACCAGAAAAAGAGGCACTAAAGAACCCACATTGGATCGGATTTGCCTGCTGCTGACCCAGAGAGTCTCTGTGCTATGCGTTGGGAGTTGAAGACGATGGTTCGTTTTTTATTTTTTTGGTTCCAAAATCTAATTGGTTTGGGCCGATTGGGCCCATGAGCCCACGGCCCACAAATCACACAAGCCCACATCCCCAAGATTGGAGATCGGTTTCTCTGCTCAGATGTGTCTCCAACTCCATTTCCACTGAGAATTTGAGAGAGAGTCGTATTCCAAGGCGGTGTAAGCGACTCTGTGAGGAAATACAATTCATAAAAAGTCCTATTTTTTTAAACAGGAAAAAGAAACAATAGCACGTGAACTCGCCACTGAGTCAACAGGCAGAAACAAACAGTATAAAGGAAACCAACATTTGATTTGTATCAACCAAGGGAGAAAATGCATACTTGGGAATAGTTGCAGCCTTCTCCCGCATCCTCTGTATGAAACGGCCATTGTGGAAGCTCCTTCCAGACACATCTGAGTGAAATTTCTCCAAGGGGTAAGAGAGTCTAGTATTTTTCCCGTCCTTGAAAAGAGCATAGCCAAACACCCGCTGGGCATCAATTTCCTCCACACAATCTGCAGTCAGATATAATTCAAAGTCCATTAACTAATGATTTCTGCTGTAATTCAGTTAATCAATTCCAACTAATTCACTATGAAAGAAGAAACTTGCTGCATAAACATATACATCTCCATGGTTAAAAAGTTTGAATGAGACTACCTTCTAGTCCCAGCTCAATTAATTTGAGGTAGCCTCCAGGTTGTAGTAGTTCACCAACAATTCGGTCTGGCTCTTGCAAGTCTCGTTCAATCACATGAATTCGACGTCCATCCTTCAGTCCAAAGTAGGTTCATCAATTTCCACAAGAAATAATTTGCACTAGAATCAAACCAGATAAAAGAAAACTAAGCAATTGCCATCTCCCTTAGGGCGTCTTCAGCTTTGATGTTTGCTTTTTGTTAATGAAAAAAAAAAAAAGGCCCTGTTTCAACAATCTTTTACAGTACGGATACAATGTAAAAAAATTAAAAATTAAAAGTCAAGCGCAAATATGAGCTTGAAAAATTAAGCTGCAAAGTACATCAAAGCTTAATTTCAATCCATGACCAGCGTTGTAAGCTTGAATCTGGTCAGTAAGACAAAACCTCACAAAAGTGCAGGCCCTTGTAATTACAGGACTTAGTGGTAGTTGGTAACAGATGGATTACTTAGTCTACATGTTTTTCTTTTTGGTGGGAATAGTATGTCGTATTAGACTCTTCATATATAAGGAATATACTTTTGTTAGCAACGCATTCTGTCCTTTACAATCCCCAGTCCTAGCTGTTAGACAATACAGGACATGTAGTAGTTATTCAAACGTAATGTTTGAAACAATAATCTAAACAAAAAATATAAAAGATTGCAGAAAGAGATATTCCTTTAGATTTGTACCTCTGCCTGTACGAACTAGACTTTAACAGCACACTTGATCGAATCAAAAGGTCTTAGTATTATCAATTAAAATTGCACATATGTATTTTAACTGGGCAACCACTTACAATTTTACCAAAGATCCTACCAGCAAAATTTCCGCAGGCAATAAGTTCGTATATAAAGTTTTGACAGTAACTATGCGAGTGATGCAACAACGTCGTCGAAAACTCGAAAATTATTAGGACCAGAACAGCAAATTGAAACCACCATCTTTATTCATATTCTAGCATGATTATCAGAGATGATGTCAGATTAAGACATAAAGGTGTAAGCTACCTAGATGACATTTGAGCAGGTTTGTTTACTTGTTAAAGCTTAATTCAGAAGGTTATTAGAGTAATTCTGTATAACATGCAGGTGTATGTGGTGCCCGCGCTTGTGTGTCACTGTGTTTGTAATTAACCTTAATTTTATATTAAATCAAATCACTACCAGTTTTCAAGAGCATCTGCTTTTTCTTTTTAACCTTTTCAAAAGAATTCAAGCGCGTGTGCCTCATCGCACACAGCAATCAGAATACCATACCGATTCAAATCAACAAGAAATGAAAACAAATGTGTTTGTTTGCCGAGAAAATGAAACTCAAGAGGCTCAAACGAAGCATATTCTCTCACCTTGCCGAGAGTGTGAGCCAGAGCAGCGCCGGCGACGCCTGCTCCGACTATTATAACGTCGACATCGCCGTCAGTAGATCTGCATTCTCCATTCGAGACCATGACGCTCTTCACGCACTCGCTTCTCTTCTCCACCAAAGCGCTGCGACGATCGTCGTTCCTCTTCACCAGCGTTCTGTACAGCGCCACGAGGCCCAGCACGGAGGCCAAGATCCATCCAAGCAAGTACTGATCCGCCATTTCTCCTCCGAAAATGCGAACTCGATCGAAGCTCTCAGAGACGACAAGAGGACGAAACGACGACGCGTCTCTCTGTTTCTCACTCTCTCTCTCTCTGTATTGGCTTTTTTCTTGATGCGTCTCTCTCTCACACACAATACACACTCTCTCTTCTCTCGAGTCTCTGGCTCTTCGCTGGCTCTTTGCCTTTTTTGGAACGGTTATACGTTGTTGCAACGGTGCCACGATATGTGTGTTGGCAGGGCATGTTCACCTTTTATAGGGCTCCACGAGTCAAAATGACAAATATGTCACAGCTGTGCAATACGATGCGTTTGGTTGGATTTCTATCTTGCGCCATGTGAGTGTTCTAGCTTAAGCTGTGCGTATTGAACCCTAGGTTGACTGGTGCTTCACTTTTTATTCTAAATTTTTATGTTTTTTTATATTTTATAATCATGTATTATTGAGAGGTGTATTCAATTAAAATTTTAAAAGAATTTGTAAAAGTTTGGGTGTATTCGATTCAGATTTCAATTGACTTAAAAAAAATCCATCGAAATCTAGGTCTATTTAATTATGACTTTTTAGACATCAAACAAAATTTAGGTATATTCAAAAAGTCATTTATTTTGAAGGAATTAATGAGTTGCCCAATTTCGTTAGAATTTAAAGTGGTAAGTATAAATACAAAATGCCTTGACAAATCTTATGTCAAAACCCTAGAAACTTTGAAAGTGCTCTGTGCTTTCCAGTCTTTGAACATGTGTGCTTGTCAAGTGGAGGTAAAAAATCTCATCTTTTTCTACTACGCTTTCATATATGTATGATCTCTCATCGATAGTCTTCCCAATAGTTGTTGTTGTTGTACATCATATATCATATATCTTCAATATCGATAGTCTTTGAACATGTGTTCCTCTTTTTCCCAATAATTATTGTTGTTGATTACAAATAAAAGCTCCAATCTCTTCTCTCTGAATAGTCGTTGTTGTTGTACATCATATATCAATATACAATAGCACCCCACCCTCTTTTATGCTTGATTGAAGATTGCAAGGAGTTAATGAGACGGAACTGGAGTTGCAACATCTCTCATGTTTACAGAGAACAAAATAAAGTTGCCGACCACCTTGCCAATATGGGGCATGGGCTCCCATTGGGTATGCACCAGTATGAGTTTGCTCCTGATTATCTTACCAATACTTTATTGGATGATAAATTATGGAGGACCCACGCTAAGGCTGTGCCTGTTTAGCCTTTCTTTCTCTTGGCTTCGGCCATCCTTATAACCAAAAAAAAAAAGAAAAACAATCCCATCCTAGTTTTGTTTTGTTTTTTTTATTAAAAAAAAATAAATTTGTTTTTGTACATCATATTATGCTATAGCCTTCTTTATCGATCTACATGCATCCCTTTTTCTTTTTTTTTTGCCTTTTTCCTTCTTTATATTAGTTGCTTATATGTGCAATTTTTTTTTTTGGTCATTAATGGAGATGGAAGAAGCACAGTACTATGAAATGAAGAAATCAATGAAGAAAAAGAAGAAGAGGAAATGGACGACGAAGAATTAGAGAAACATTATTTTGAAACCATAAAGATATTGTTGATGACAGCATAAGTAATAGCTCAAGTGCTAAAAAAAAAAGGGGAAATGAAATAAAATAACATTTTAGAATTTTAATAAACTCTTTTAAAATCTATGATAAAACTATAACGAACACCATTAAAATCAATCTAGGAATTCAATCAAACTCTATGTGGAGTTGATAGAAATCAATTGAAATATATTGAACTCTATAAACTTTATAACTCCATTGAACTCTTTTAAAATCTTAAATGAATACACTTGAAAAAATACAAGTAATTTGATTTCCTTTTGTTTTATAATCTTTTTATTATATAGTATTGGAAGTTGTAAGTTTAAAGTACAAATAATTATGGCTTAAATGTTAAAATAGTCTCTGTATTTTATTTATCCGACCAATTTAGTCTCTGTGTTTTTAATTTGGCCAATTTAGTCATTGTGGTTTACCACATGTTAGTGAATGTTGTCCATTTCAATGTATATTTGTTTTTTATTTTTTGCCTGCTCTCCAATTTACAAGCATCCACAGTATCACAAACCCCTTTTCTATTTTACATGGCCCATGAGATTAGGGAACAAATTAGATGAATAAATTACTGGTTGAACTGTGAATAATTTGACCAAAATTTCGTCTTGGGTTTAGAACTTAGAGTCAAGGCTCTCACTTCGAACAGTTGTCAAACAAAAAGAAGGTTGGGGTACTCGAAAAAATATATATAATTTTTTGGTTACGAACGTATTATTATATAAAATCAGGTGAATCTGATTTGTACAGTATATTAGTCAAGAATAATTAAGCTGGGATGGCATATGATCTAAAATAAATAATATTGTAATCTGATTGGTGGGAGCGTGACAGGCATTACATGTTTTACGGAACTTTAAAAAAGGATATTTGGGAAAAAAAGAAGTGTGGAAATTGGATCAAGAGACCTATATTATAATTTTTAGCCAAAGAAAGGAAAAAAAAGAGAGAGAGATCAATATATTATAATTCTCAAGCTCGTCACACATTAACTTTCTAATTAAAGTGTTTAATATACAAACAGTCTCAAACCTAAAGTTCGAAACATTGATTAATTTTTTGTGACAATATATTTTATGCATGAGTTCAAGCTTTCACATTGATTTTTGGATGTTTTCATCCTCTCCTCTGTGTTATCATCAAACATCTTTACCAAAAAACAAAGTATAATCAGGATTAATTTGCAAGATTAACGTAAATTATATACCAATATAATAGGAGGAGTAGTCGGATGACCAAGGTCCAAGACAAAAGTGCACTCCGCCGCTGAAGAATTCGGCGGGCACACTCGTCCGTACGCCGTCAATAATAATGCAACAATAATTTATTTTTTATGAACTAATCAGTCAAAATGAGTAAGACGTGATATAAAACCAATTGGCGGCATCAGAGTGTAGTTTGGGTTTGCCACTTGCATCGCATGTGTTAAGAAATATGTCCAAATTAACGGCTTCTTTTTATTAATTTGCCTAATGTAAAATCCCGCGCAACAACATAACAAGTTTGACTCAAGATGAGTGAGACTGAACTTTACCATGGCTAGAAAACGTTTTTGGTCGATATAGTTTTCATAAAGTTCAACTTTTATGTTTTAGGATTTTTATAAACTTGTGTTAATTTATTGTACGAAATTCGTCAATTTTAGTCTTTTATGTGACGTTTGCGTGACATTTTTTTTTATATAATAAATTAATTAAAGTTGACCGATGTCATTAGATTGGAATAATTTGTAAATTACATAAACTAAACTCAATGGGATTAACCTATATAATCATATTCTATATTATGACAAGACTTTGTAACTCGATTGGTTAAAAGTGCTTATTATGGCATACGACGAGGTTCTTCCTCTCTCAAATATCTAGAGTGCTACTAAACGAATCATAAAATTAACTGAGTACACCCTACTACAAAAACTATTTATTGAATTACTAATTTACCTTAATATAAAATGACCAAAAATGATATATTTAATTATGAAACTTTGTCGTCGTCTCCTCCACCGGACATAGCAATGCTTCCTTTATAACATCTTCTCCTCCACTGTCACACTAACACCGTCGTCGCATCTGCTTCTCCACCGTTACAGCAGCGCCGTCGTCGTACCATTATACTAGTGTCGTGGTCGTCTGATATTGGTAAATCTCATTTTGATTTTGTTATCAAATGGGTTATACTATCTTGATTTGTTCTTCACTGCCCACAATGTTTCGTAACCTTCCTCTGGAAATTGGTTTTAATTTGTTCTTCAAAGGGAGCAGTTTATGGGTTGTTTCAACATCGAAAATGCCTTTATAGCTTTTCTGGTTTAGATCCAAATAATATGTTGAGGGCCCATGAAAATTCCTTCATATAACTTGTGAAATCAAATAATAAGTTCAATGTTTGTGTCTGTAAATTCAATACATTTATAAATATAAACATAGGGCACAAATTCATGTAAAAAGAGAAATTTGGTTTAGGATTGGTATTAAGGTGTTGTCTGATAGAGAGTATAGGTGTATCAGAGGTATTTTTTGTAGTTAAATAGGGTGTACTTAATTAATTTTATATTTTAATTAAAATATTAGGGTGTACTTAGATCATAGGGTGTACTCAGTTAATTTTAGGGTTTGTTTGGCAGCACTCTATTGTATATTAAAAGAAGAAATCATATTATATCGAATATAAATTTTTAAAATTTTGTATTATTCTTAAAATGTACTAATGCCACGTTGTCATGCTATGCAAAATGAGTTTTTGAGCCCAATGCGAAAAGGGCCCAACGGGCCTGTTGGCAAATCCATTAAGGCAGAAACTCAACTGAGAAGCAGAAAATGAAAATTAAAAGACGGGCGTAGCGGCAGTAGCGGGAACTGATTTGCGAAAGGCGAAAGAAACCAACCAAACCAAAGAGGCAAGACGCGGTACAGCAAGCAACAGCAAAAATGGAATTTGAGTGCTCTACTCTGAGTCTCTGGAGAGAGGCCCTATCTTCTTACTCGTCTCGCATCCAATCACTCAACAAACCCAATTTGGTTTCTCTCGACGACTTTTACCGCAACGAGCTCCCTTCTCTCCTCCACCAACGAAACCCTAGCCCCTTCATCACCACCTCCGAGCTCTCTGACCTAATGCGCTGGAAGCTCACACGTGGCAAATGGCGGTACCTCTCTCTCTCTCTCTCTCTCCTTCAACATTTTTGTGTGTATATATCAATTCTGCGGTTAGACTGAGGAGTGCTAAATTTGTATTTAAAATTGTGAATTTGAGGCCGAGGCTGTTGGATTTCGTATCGGCTTTGGACGAGGCCGTGGTGAAATCGGCCTCCCAAAAGGCGTTTCAGGCTCTTCCTGATATCTCAAAGGCTATCTCTGAGCTCACGGTGCTCAAAGGGGTGGGTCCCGCCACCGCCTCTGCCGTTCTGGCAGCTTACGCTCCTGACGTGGCGCCCTTCATGTCCGACGAGGTGAATTAGCTTAGGGTTTTGAATGTAGATTTTGGATTTATTGCTTGTCATTTGAGTAATGTCTTTCTGGTTGATTTTCAAATTTAATTTGTGTTTGTTTGGTAACAGGCTATGGTTGCAGCTCTTGGCAACTCCAAAGACTATACACTCAAGCAGTACCTGTTATTCGCAAATAAGTTACAGGAGAAAGCAAAGGTCAGTCAATTCCTTCAGCATTGGTGTAACTCGGAAAATTACTTGATGACTGCAATGCAAGCATATAACACATGCACATTATACAAATCTAGTGCCAATTAATATAGTGTAATACTGTATGCGGAACAAAAATCCTAGGGTTGGTGCGGTTGTATCATATGATCTCGCATCTACCCATCATATGATGTCCATGCGATTTGATGATTGTGAGAGGGCACGCATACCCCCTGCCGGATTGAACTTTCTCAGGGCTGATTTTCATCGTCATGAGCATGAAAGCTGCTATCTTTGTAATTCAAGCCTATGTTTTTTTATGGTGATGGAGTGTAGCATGTCCATTTTCCGTACTAAATTAAATTATAATATTAAGTGTGCCAAATCTGTAAGTTGTGATACTTTTAGTTTGGCATGGTGTTAACAAGAATATTATCTAAACTAATGTCACATTATTTACTTTTCCATGGATTTTGCTGCCACTTTTAACTATCTGCTGGTGGAATGCATGCAGGAACTGACTGCCGAAGGGGAGAGCTTCACACCATCAGATGTAGAGAGGGCTTTGTGGAGTGGTGCTGTAGGGGCCAAGCTGCTATCTTCGGAATCAGATCCAGACCTCAAAACTGATAAAAGTAAAAATCCCAACAAGAGAAGGCGAAAGCGCTGATGTAGTGCTCAGCCATTTAACTGGCTTTGGCAATGCTTGTAAGTTCTAACTAACTTCAAAACTACATTAAAATGCTGTACAAGCAAGTATTTCATCAACTCTCATGAACGAAGCTTGTGCTTTGCATTTTGCAAACTATGAATCATTGACTCATATGAGTAAATATTGTCTGAATTTATTTTATTTTATCAGTTTCTGGGATCAAAAAGCCCTAATTCTCAACGTAAACTAGAAGCCCATTTAAACTTTGGCCCTACCATTAGCAGTTACTGTTAACATATCGTTTGAATGAAATTCTAGACAGACTTTGTTGGTTTTGGTCCATGCTTGGTCAAAAAACTCTGCAATACGTTAAATTGGTCAGCCCCCTCTCAAAGAAACGCGTTTATTAAAATTTGAAACACCCAATTGGAATGAAATCCATAAAAAAGCTAATTATCTTTTATAAGCTCTCCTATTTATTGGGCCATCCTAATGCTTTTCCAAATCGTAAGGAGTTTCCTAGGCTCCCCTTTTGTCGTTTGCTTTGTCATAACGGCCTTCCAATTCCAAGCTGTAATCAAGTCTGCTAACGTGTCAACGCGCTATTCGTTTCCAGGTCGGTTCCTGTGCGAGCAACAAATCAGATAAAAATCCCCTCCCCAAACTCCCTCAACGGCCAACCCAACAACCCCCATAATCTACCAAAATGACGATTGTCTCGTCAGACCGGAAGTACCGGCGCAGCCCCAAAACTCCGCTCCTGCCCCAGAAGCACGACGACCATGACTCCGTCGAGGTCGGTTTCAACGGCGCGTCGTTTTCCGGAGCCGTCTTCAACATGTCGACTACAATCGTTGGTGCCGGGATCATGGCTCTGCCGGCGGCGGTTAAGCAGTTGGGCCTGATTCCGGGCCTAATTATGATCGTTTTGGGGGCTATGTTGACCGAGTCGTCCATCGACATGATCATGCGGTTCACGCGAGCTTCCAAGACAGCCTCGTATTCGGGTCTGGTCGGCGACGCTTTCGGTGGGCCCGGACGGAGCCTCCTCCAGCTCTGCGTCGTCGTCAACAACTTGGGCATGCTCGTCGTCTACATGATCATCATCGGTATAGTTTCTGCTCAACAATACTTTTTATTTTTAATTTCTGGAGTGTATTTATTTTTTGGTCAACGAGGTTCAGACTTTCCGAGTTTAGCTGCTAAGCGACGTCGTATGTGCCCCAGCTTATATTTTGGGAAGGGGCTAATTTTGGAATTTTGGTGTTGCAGGGGATGTGATGTCGGGGACTTCGTCGGAAGGAGTACGCCATTCGGGTGTAATAGAGGAATGGTTTGGTCAACGTTGGTGGACCGCACGGTTCTCGTTGCTTCTTCTCACCACGCTCCTTGTTTTGGCTCCTCTTATTTCTTTCAAGCGCGTGGGTACATTCTCTACCTCTCTCTCTCTCTGTTTTTTTTTTCTTGTTAATAATTACATATTTTGACAAATTGTAGTCGCAAAAAAACTAGTTGCATTATATAATGTAGCCCAAGTTAGTAAATTGCTAGCCATTTTCTGGTCCTGCTTATATTGTCATATAAGCAGCTACAGTTCTGGCAATGAGCTTGCATTGGTTGTTTTGCTTGAACAACTATTGAAGACTCTGAACTTCCTTGAGTTATTTACGAATGAATGGAGGCAAGCGTTATTATGTATAATAGGAAAAAAAGTGTTCATATGATGTTCCTAAGAGATGATATCAGATCAAATACCACGTAAATAGGGTTTCAGCTGTTGACTGGCATAACAATTATTGATTCAGTGACTGATTTCTGTACATATATTATCTTTTTGTGCTAGATTCGCTGCGATACACATCAGCATTGTCGGTTGCTTTGGCTGTTGTTTTTGTGGCAATAACAGCGGGAGTAGCAATCTTTAAGTTGATGGATGGAAGCATTGCATTTCCACGTTTGATGCCCAAACTCGTTGACCAGGCATCATTTTGGAAGCTTTTCACTACCATTCCCATTCTAGTCACTGCCTATATCTGCCACCACAACAGTGAGTACTCCATATGCAAATAAGCCTGCTAGATTTCTTTTGTTTTTATAATAGAATTATTGTTAAGGAAATAATGCTTTGTGGTAATTTGAAGATTATATTAGTCCATTAAATTTGGTAATGAATGCTAAGGGAGCGGTTAACAATGGTCATGTTACGTTATATTTTGCCCATAAGATACAAACGACCACCATAATCATAGGCGCTGATCTATCTCACGGCAAACTACATAGTTAGGGACTACAGTTCAAGCTTATCAAGTGACTCGGTGGATACACTTTGGTTCTAATTTCTACAACCATGGTGCATATTGTAATCTCAAATGGCATTTGATTGCTTAATACAAGGATGTGTATTCTATTAGCTGACTACTTTTCTATTGCACTTGCAGTTCACCCAATAGAGAATGAACTAATAGACCCTACCCAGATGAAGTCAATAGTGCGGACCTCACTTGCATTTTGCTCATCTGTTTACATTGCAACCAGCTTCTTTAGTTTCCTTCTCTTTGGGGATCACACGCTGGATGATGTGCTGGCAAATTTCGATGCTGATCTTGGAATTCCGTATAGCTCATTTCTTGATGATATTGTTAGGGTTAGCTATGGCGTCCACCTGATGCTTGTTTTCCCCATTGTATTTTTCTCCCTTCGCCTCAATTTAGATGGTCTTCTCTTCCCCTTTGCCATTCCTATTGCATTTGACAATCGAAGATTCTACACAGTAACTGCAGCTCTCATGGGTTTTATTTTTCTTGGAGCCAATTTTGTGCCTAGCATCTGGGATGCCTTTCAGTTCACAGGTGCTACAGCTGCCATCTCCGTTGGTTTCATATTCCCCGCTGCCGTTGCGCTTAGGTAAGCAACATTGACTATAATGAACTTGTTATAATAACATTGATAGAATTGCACGTCGAAGCATAATATTTTTCTAAGCTCACACACTGGAACAGAAGGACAAGCTAAAAATAAAAGGTTGCATTTAGCACTTGATGTTTTGATTGACTGAGAAGAAACCTTCTCTGCTTTGACCTAAAAGCCATGCCTTCCTCCTCTGTCCTGTTATGCAGGGACACTCATGGAATTGCAACAAAGAAGGACAAACTAGTGTCGTGGGTGATGATCTTTTTAGCTGTCTCCTCAAGCACAGCGGCCATCTCCAGTGACATTTACAGCATTGTCAGTCGTGATAAACTCGCTGGAAGCTGACATACGAGAACAGCAAAATTTTCCATTCGTTTCATTTAGATGCAACAAAGAAGGACAAACTAGTGTCGTGGGTGATGATCTTTTTAGCTGTCTCCTCAAGCACAGCGGCCATCTCCAGTGACATTTACAGCATTGTCAGTCGTGATAAACTCGCTGGAAGCTGACATACGAGAACAGCAAAATTTTCCATTCGTTTCATTTAGAATTAGATTAGATTCCTTCTTCTTTTTTCCATACTTTTTTAATACACACTTTTCTTTAACTTGTTTTTTATTTATTTTTAATAATAAAAACCTACTAATCATTGATCATTAAGAAAATAAAGCGATTGCTGTATCATGTTGTTATGTGGAAAGATTAATCAGGTGGTGGATAAAATTACAATTAACTTGACCAAAGAGGTTTAAATAATGATTCTTAGTGGGTCCCCCACCAAACACCAAAGCTGTTTCGCATTGCGTTGTTGTGGCATTATTCGACTCAAAGCTTTTCATCGGTTGGGATTGGATGATCATCTGTGCTTGCTTTTTGAACCTGGTTTTACTTTGGTCGTTTTCAATTTTTCCGAATTGTGATGACTATAGCATCCGAAACACACATGGCCTGCCCCTTTCCCTTTCTCTCTCTCCACCTGACAGATCTAGAACAGCTGACCAACACATGAAGATTGATCAGTTTGATCACATTTTTCACAACCTCAGAAGCTCTTATATTGTTTTCGTTCACTTTCATGGTTTCATGGTTTCATGGTTTCTCTGCGCCAATAATATAAAATATACAGAAAAGCATAAATTATATGTTGCCCACAGAAAATTTTCTTTGGGATTGTTTATTTGCCAATCTGACGTCTTACGTTGTTGTTGTGGAAATCATACAAGTCGTGGTCTTCAACAACTAAAATATATCGCTGGGCCTTGTGTTTGTCTCCTCCTTGATTTATCCACGTGGATGATGTTATTGTTATTACTAGTTTGTCTCCTCGATTAGAAAAATATTTGTGCATGATGTTATATAGCTGGGCCAGTGTCAACTCTACAAAGGAAGGCTGATGTTTGGTTTTTCTCTTTCGAACTTGCGTGTAAAAGGGTGGTTGCACGGACACTCCAAAATGCTGGTTTTTGAGATTTTCCATGTCATCGTGTTGCCGTATTGCCGTGTCGCCGTATTGCCGTGTCGCGTTCCCGTGTCCCTGTACCCGTGTCCGTGCAACATACTGTCTTAACCTACATTTGCCTAACACCATTTAGAGGATTATAATTGTCGACAATATTTGAACAAGAGACAACAAAACCATACTATTTTTGCCAGTTGCATTGCATCTTAACTCGGATAAAAGTAAAAACCCATAAATTTGATGGAAGATTCGATGACAGATGGTTCTGCGCGATAGAAAACGATGTTTGAAAGATTCAAAATTAGACAAAGTCATCTTGAGCCAGTAGGAAGGAAGTTTAGCAGAATGAGACAAACAAAAGTTTGGAGCATCTGGAATTTGGCCAGGCCATGCCTATATTCACACCTGTTTTTGAATGAGATGTTCACGGCGCTCTCTTTTTTTCAAATTTACATAAACATTGCGTATAAGTGTTAAGTAAGAAGGTGTTTGGCCCGTGGTCCATACTCCATACTGAAACTGTTGTTAAGTCAAACACTCAAACTTTTGTTAACATCCGATGTATACAGTAACTTTTGCTAACGGAACACCCTCCCTCTCCCAATTATAGCTAAATGCATATGGCAGTCAACTAGGTTGGATTGGATCCTTAGCCTTAACAAAACTTGACAGAATGAAATCTTGAGTGTTTGACTTGTTTGCTTTCTTATCCTTTTTTTTTTGGTGGTGAAATCATGAAGGATTGTTGAGAAATGGAATCATACTGTGAAACCCTAATGATGTGCCAATTATAGAAGAAGTGCAAAAATAAAGTAAAATTTGTGACTTGGATTATAATAGCAATGAATTTGTTTATAGTTGGCCCATTTCCATCTCCAACAAGAACGACAATGAACTTGGACATCCTCAAAAGTCATGAGTCACAATAGAAAAATGAAACAACTCACTCACAGGGAATTTACAAGACATGGACACCATTACTTTACATCCAAATACATAAATAAATCAGCACGTTTGCAATGCATAATTGGATGATTTAAACCAATCAGAAAACGACATGTCAATTCGTGATTCATTTATAATAATAATAAAAAAAAGAAGTTTCAATATTTGACAAACAATTGAATTTGAATATATAAAACAATTTGACGAAATAGTCCAAAAGATATTTCTTGCAATCGTAAGCTTTTAAAAGTTGGATTTTGCAGTCGTAAACAAACCGGTGCTTTATTATAATATTTTATTAATGATTGATTTATATAAAGCGCAGTGTCGGTTCGGGGTGACACATCACATATATGATATACAAGTTACATATCATTGTGATATAACTAATTTTACAAATACAATTAATTATCAATTAACTAGAATATTAGTACTTTACTAGGAGCTATAGTACTCTGATTTTGCTTTAAACCTGCCACTTGGACAGTCATTATGATCCCTAACGCATTTAATTATGGATTAAGAGCAGTGCTCTTTGATCGCACCTATCACCTAATCTTTGATTAGATTTAAAGAAAGAAAATGCCACATGGACCTACATGTCCTCCAACTTTTGTAACTTTCTACTTTTGTTCAATCCGTTGCTGAATTAAAACTTGTATAATTCTCCGTTTTT